GTCATAAACCTTTCGCTTGAGACACATAAGAATGTAAATTTTTAGAATATGGCTTAATTTGCCAAATGCTGCCTAATGTTAGGTCTATTGGCCTCTGTATTTCATGTGTTTGATTGTCTCTGCTTATTTTGATTTCGTGTCCAAGATATTTGTAAGTGTCTGTATGTTGTATGGTATTATTGTCAACGGTTGTATTTCCACTCATTACGTGATTTGTTATAAGTTTAGGTTTCTCAAAGTTTATCTTTATTCCTAATCTTTCAGACAGACTTTTAAGCGAATGGATTATAGAAATGGGTAACTTGAAAACAAACCAAATTCTTATTAACGCCACTTAAAAATACTACGAACAAAACTTCTCAAGAATAATCACCTCCCCTTTTCAAATAACAAAGGGACTAAGACAAGGCTACAGTCTGTAAGGAGCAGCGACCCGTGCCTTAGACTCTCTTCTCTGGCAAAAAACAAATCGACGAGAAATCAAAAAACACATTTACGGTAGTATAGCCCAAAGTATTACACTTTACGGTTCGGAAGTATGGGACGTCACCAAAGCTAATAAAAACAAACTTATGACGACAGAAATGGATTATCTAAAATGAAGCTGCGGTAGATCGAAACTGTGAAGAGTAAAAAACGAACAAATAAGAAACGAAATGAGAATGGAGCGAAATATCAATAATGACATAGAAAGGAAACAATTAATCCGGTTCCGGCATGTTAAAAGAATGCCAGAGTATAGATGGCCTAGAAGAGTACTGGAATTGATACTTCCTGAAAGAAGAAAGAGAGTACGACCACGGAGAAATTGGCACAACGATATTGATGAAGCAATGGCGGCAAGAGACTTAGAAGAGGCAACTGAATATGACAGAAAAAGATGGAAATTGGGGGCGGAGAAGCGGCGACAGCCGTAATCAATCCGTTATTATATATATATATATATATAATGTTTTTACTTTAAACGTTTTTTATTGTAAAAAGTTTTTATAAAGGAGTAAATATTGTTATCTTGTATTGACAAAGCTTTTCAAAAATGGCTTGGCGCTAGATAGTATCCAAAGCACATTCTATATCAAAGACAGTAGCGATCAGATTTTGTTTATTTGAAGTAGAGAAAGCTATTTTTGTTTGTAATACACAAAATTGTCAAGGGTTAAATGGTGACACCTGAAACCGGATTGCGCTGCCTCAATTACTACATATTTTTCGAGAAGAAATGTTAATCTTGAATTAATCATTTTCTCAAACAGTTGACATAATGAACAGGTTAGAGAGATAGCTCTGTATGATTTGGTTGGGTATGAGGGTAGATCAGATTTTTTATTGGTATGATAATGGATTTACCCCACAGTCTAGGTAATTGCTGAGTATGCCTTAACTTGTTATAAAAATTCAGCAATTTTGCGAAGCTGGAATAAGATAAATTTTTGATGAATATAATTGGGATATTGTCTGGTCCAGCGGCGGAGTTCATACAAAAGGATAGTACAAAACACTTATAAACAAATTTATCTACCACTTTTTAACTAAAATTTTAAGCAAAATCTACTATAACATTTTTATTTATAATTATAAAGTCCTATGTAAATCTGAGTTTATAATTATGTATTGTACGTAAGTATTGGTTTTTATTCGCTGCCAGCTGACCGTGTGCCTCAGAGCGCGTTATTAAAAGTTCCATATTTTCATCAAAAATTAACATAGAAACATTTACAAAAGCTAAAAATGTGTAAGCTTTGTAACTGATATTAGCCAGATTTTTAAGGTTGTACCTTATTTTTTTTTTAATATTTTATAACGAATTAATTCGCAACTTTTTAGTAAAATTTTTAATGTTTAAATTTTAATAACTATTTGTTAATAAAGATAAAGTAATTTTGCTAACATTTTTTTAAACTGAAACAATTATCTTCAAAATGAATGGGTTTTGAATGTTAATCACACGTATAAAAGCTATAATTTGCTATAATTCTATAACCACGGTTCTAATAATCAGACCATAGTTAACAAAACGTCATTTTGGTCATTTTTCAAAAGGAACGATTTTCATTTCGGTAAAGGTAAATGTCTCTGATAGTTCGGAGACATACAAAAAAATAAAAACATTTAAACAGTAATTAATTTGATAATATCCAATTATCTGACAGGATTTCGGCCTGGTACTCTCAAAATATCGAATGTAGGCATCAATAATCTTTAAAAAATGACAAAGTAATGATTAGACATAAAGTGCATACTCTAACCTCCCTGGCTCCTAAATCCTAAAGCAATAGTTGTTGCGGATAATTACAAAGTAAGAAGGTTTTTACCTCTTGTTGAACCACTTCCATTAAGTATATTACAGGACTGTATGAAGAAAAAAATCACTACAACAACTTTAGTAGATGATAACAACGAAATAGTATCTAGTCCAGAAAATGTAGGAGATATATGAGAAACATACATCGAAGATCTGTTTGATGACAAGAGAACACAACCACAAATGAATATAGTACAAGAAAGAATACTTGATATACTAACATCGGAAGTTACAAAAACAATCAATACGGCAAAGCCACGAAAAGCCTCAGGTCCAGATAAAATATACGTAACGTTAACAATAATATTTAACAAAATATATACCACTGGAATCTTCCCAGAAGACTGGCTTATATCGACATTTATTATCGACCCAAGAAAAATAAAGCAAATAGAAGTTCACAGTTCAGATTAATTAGCCTGATGAGTAATTTTCTGAAAATTTCACTCAAAATTGTGCATCAACGAATATACAGAGAAGGCGAAAGAAACCTGAGCGACAATCAATTGGGATTTCGTATGGGGCTTGGTACAAGGGAGGCATTATTTGGCCTCCAGATATTACTATAAAAATTCCGAGATTATCTAAAATACTTTTTTCTCTGTTTTATCGACTACGAAAAAGCGTTTGATCCAGTAAAACACACAGAACTCATAAAAACCCTAACACAACATGGTATAGACCATAACACTGTAGCACTCATTAAAAAACTAAATTGAGATCAAATGGCGCCTATCAAAATAGACAATCCACTGACAGCAGAGTTGGCAATAAAAAGAGGAGTTCCTCAGGGCTGTGTACTTTCTCCACTGGTTTTTAATATATATTCCGAAAAGATCTTTTAAAATGCCCTCGAAAATATTGAAGAAGGACTAAAATCAACGGAGAATACGTAAACAACTTAAGATACGCAAACGACACCGTCATTATTGTGGACAGTGCTGAGGGTTTACGACTTTTGAGTGTCATAACCAGAGAGGGAGATAGCTTGGGACTAAATATAAACACAAATAAAACAAAACTAACGGCTGTTCTAAGTAAGTTCTGAGATAAACAAAGTTCTAAGTAAGTTCATTAATTTAGAAATTGTTTGTTAAAATAAATTTTTTCTTGCCATAACAAGTGGCGAATAACGGTTTACAAAATCACTTGTATAATTTTTTTCTAGACGGTAACAGTTAAAGCATCTCTTGAAATATGTATAGTTATATCAATACAAAAAGAATTTCTAAACGTGCTTCTATTATTTTTTTAATAATATATATATATATATATATATATATAATATATATATATATATATATATATATATAATATATATATATATATTATTTGTAGTCTCAGCAATTGGTCTGTATGAAATAAAACTCTATTTGTTATTTCTCAATATTTCGTCACGATTTTGTGACTTCTTCAGGAGAAAACTGTAAATTTATTATAATTATTATATGTAAACAAAATGAATATTTCAATACTTACAACTTAAGATTAAAAATTTAAATTTTGATAACATATCCAATTTAAATAAATGACATTTTTTTTGATTTTAATTTATTTGGGAGTTATGGTAACCGCAATATTTTATAGAGTGAATTCCCATTGTACAATTTTTAGCGAATAAGTTTTAGTAAACAATTACATATTGTGACAGTATTATACATATAATAGGGTGCAAAAGTAGAAGATTGAGAAAGAATCAGGAACATGGTAAATTGTGGCTTAAACAACGTGTCACTCAACACAAAAGTGACTGTACCTTACGAAAAAACTCTTGTGCCTTAGTGGACCAACACTTAAAGACTGGACATAACTTTGACTTTAATCATGTAAAAATCTTGGAACAAGCTGATAATTATAAAAATCGACTTTTCCTTGAAATGGTACACATTAATAAAACTCCAGAATCTATCAATTATAAAACAGACACCAACCATTTAAGTAATATCTACTGTAATATACTAAACAATATATGATATGATAGATCTTAATATCAGTATCTAACAACATCAGACCAATAACTGACTACGTACCATCAATTACATTTTATAGATCAATTTACCATGTTTCTGATTCTTTCTCAATCTTCTACTTTTGCACCTTATTATATGGATAATACTGTCACAATATGTAATTGTTTACTAAAACTTATTCGCTAAAAATTGTACAATGGGAATTCACTTTATAAAATATTGCGGTTACCATAACTCCCAAATAAATTAAAATAAAAAAAATGTCATTTATTTAAATTGGATATGTTATCAAAATTTAAATTTTTAATCTTAAGTTGTAAGTATTGAAATATTCATTTTGTTTACATATAATAATTATAATAAATTTACAGTTTTCTCCTGAAGAAGTCACAAAATCGTGACGAAATATTGAGAAATAACAAATAGAGTTTTATTTCATACAGACCAATTGCTGAGACTACAAATAATATTTAACACAGTACGTTCGAGAATAATTTGATAAATATATATATATATATATATATATATATATATATATATATATATATATATATATATATATATATATATATACGTATAAATGTATATATATATATATACATATAAATATATATATATATATATATATATATATATATATATATATATATATATATATATGTATATATATAACATGTAAGAAAAAATATTTCCAGGTAATAGTTTTATATGTTTACTTTGTTTTTCAGGGTTCTCACTAGCGTTGGTAAATGTTTTCCAAAGATGTTTTCTGAACAATGTGAGACGTCTGACAATTTAAGCAAATTCCTGAAAATTTACGACGAAGCAATAACTGGTCCATGCGCAGCTTAAAAATAAATTTTTTTATTATATTAACTAAATAAAAAAATTACTGAGTATCTATATTTGTGTTTTAAACTAACTGTTATTATAATTTTTAATGATAATATAAAAATAATGCGTCGTTTACATACATATTTATATCAGCTATAACCTAACTTAAATATATGAGCTAACAAATATGACAAATACAATTGTTACGAATTTGTGTGGATTATTTATTTAAACGAATAATGGACAAAATAATACAAGGAGTACGTAAAGGTCATGGATACAGAATGGGGAACAAAGAAATCGAAATATTATGTTATGCAGACGACGCCGCATTAATCGCCGAGACAGAAGACGGGCTCCAAAGATTTACACATTTCTTCAATATAATTGTTAAGAAATACAATATGATAATAAAAGCAGAAAAAACTAAATGTATGACAACATCTGAATACCAACTACTTTGTAAAATCAAACTTGATGGGAAAATAATAAAGGAGGAAGCAAGGTTTAGATATCTGGGAATAGATATAACTAGTTACGGAAATGTTGAAGAAGAAGTAATAACACAATCTGAAAGAATAAACACCTAAGACAAGACACAAAAACAAGAATCTGTAAAGTAGCATTCAGACTTATATTAACATACACGGCGGAGACAAGACCTGATACATCTAAAACGAGACGACTGCTAGAAACAACAGAGATAGACCAATAGTCTGTTGGATAGGGAGAGAAGCGAAAACATAAGAAGAGAATGCAATATAGAAGACATAAATGGATGGGTGACAAAACGAAAACAGGAATGGAACGAACACATTAGTAGAATGGCAGAGTATAGAATAGTACGAATAGCACGAGATAAGTCACCATAAGACGAAGAAGTATTGGTAGACCAAGAAAAAGATGGTGTAACAATTTAAACAATTTAAGAGGCTAATATTGTAGAAGAAACAGGATTTAAAGCCTACATACTCACAGGAAGAAGAAGAAGAAGATTTAGTTAAACACTGTCTTTTAGTTATTTTTTTTTAGTTTTATCATGCTATCCAAAATGTCCCGTTGCTACTGTTCTAAAGACTATTTCAGGTATAATATTAAATCTTTAGAAAACAACTTACACCGATACGGGAAAAAATTTAAATAATTTAGCAGACAGTAAGATAACAGTAAGTAATGGAAATTAATTAGTTTTTTATATTGTTAATTTTATATATTGTAGAAATTTTGGTTATTTTTTCGCAAATAAAAATAGTTTACTACAAATCCGTCAATTGTTGGCTGTACAATAAAGACAAATTCTTAGCTAGCTCAAATTTTGTTTATCACACGCGATTGCTGAATCACACAATGTAACAAGATCTACGAATATGGGTCCATCAGTTGCTGGACGAACCAAAATTGATCTATGTCCTGTGGGCGGCAAACCAACCATATCGTGAACGGATGGTGGAATGTACAAAATGTATAAAATGGTGCTGTTTTAAATGAGTAAGTGTACCGGATGATTCTGAAGTAATTGATGATGACAGCTGAAAGTGCTCTTTTTGCGTAGAGGCATCCACTAAGAAGTCATACCCAAAAGGTTCCAAACCCAAGAAATCTTGATACACAACAACTTTAAAAAGTTGGTGAATAACAAGAAGCAAAACAAAAAGCTTAAACTTCTGCAAGAAGTACGAGATCTATTACGCCAAGGAGTCTAGGAAAAGAGTCTAGATGGTCAGGACATCGATGAAGAGGAAATACTTGAAACTAACCGTTTGCTTAATAAATTTCTTTCTTTAAATATAGATAAGCCCTTTATCGATATTGTTGCCCATTTACCTCCAAAACTTGGTAAGCCTCTGCCAACTTATAAAGATAAAAATTCAGATATATTATATAAAAGAAGGGATCCTTGAGATCTCCCTATTTTTAATGGTAATCCTCATGACTGGCCTGTTTTTATTAGCAGTTTTAAAAGATCTACTGAGCTGTGTCAAATAGGTAATCATGAGAATTTATTAAAATTGCAAAAATGTTTAAAAGATCCAGCAAGAGTCGTTTTAAGTTTTTTAATTTTACCTCAATGTGTACCCAAACGAAGTACATGCTGATTACAAAAAGGCCACAAAATATACATCACCTATTGACAATAAATGGTAACGTGATAGAACAAGTAGAAAAATATCAGTATTTGGGAACTTTGATCAATGAAACCAATGATCATACTGTAGAAATAAACAGACGAATAGAGATTGCCAGATCAGCATTTATACGAATGAAGCCACTCCTAACGTGCAAAAATCTAAATTTGGAGATCAGACTACGTACCATTCGCTGTTATATATTTTCAATATTATTATATGGAGCTGAGACTTGGACATTAAAAAAATGTAATTTAAAAAGAATCGAGGCCTTCGAACTCTGGTTATACCGCAGAGTATTGAAAATATCATGGACTGATAGAATTACAAATAAAGAAGTACTGGAGAGGGTTGGTAAAGAAACAGAACTAATCACCACTATACAAACCAGAAAACTGGAATACCTAGGCCACGTGATCTTCTTCATAAGGTTCTATCTTCTAACGAAGGTTGGATATCAACATGGCAATTCTTATTTTACTTACGAGGGCCACGTGATGAGGGGACCAAAATATGAAATTTTGAGACTGATAATACAGGGAAAGATTCAAGGAAGAAGATCTGTTGGCCGAAGGCAGAACTCATGGTTAAAGAATCTACGTGATTGGTACCAATGCAGATCGATTGATTTGTTTAGAGCAGCAAGTTCTAAAAATAAGAATAGCCATTATGATTGCCAACCTCCGTAGGGAGACGGCACTCTAAGAAGAAGTACCCCATAGCTACGTTAAAAATTCTTTTTGGAAAAACTGAGCAAATTATTTAAGCTCATATAAATTCTATTCCTAGATTACCACCTTCTTAACCGGAAAAACTTTAGCAGTTAAAAATTTATGTGTTTTATTGGAAGCATTTAATTTAAAATACAATCTTAATAACCCTATCCTAATGCATAAACTATTGAGAAACTACCTTCACAAATTAAAGTTAATTAAGCGATATATTGCAGTGCTTTTAAAACTTTTTAAAGATTAAGTAAACTTGTTCATTGGTTGTATAATCTAGCAACAGATGTCTGCTCTACCTACACTAGCCCTTAATGAGCAAAGTAATAAAAAGCAATTTAATAATATTGCGCGTACTAATATACATGAATCAAATACATCCAGTGAAACACAAAATTGTAAACTGTGTAATCAGAGTAATTGTAAAAAGATTGCAGGTTGTCTAGAATTTTAAAGATATTCATTACCTCAAAGATGGGAGGCTGTTAAAGTCTTAAATTTATGCAGGCTTTGCTTAAAGAAACATATATTTCCCTGTAAGTATTCTGTAAAATACAACAAAGAAAATGCCAAAGGAAACATCATTCTCTTCTTCATAAACTTTTATTGGAACAAGTAGGTAATAAAAGTACACAAATTACCAAAAAGAAAAGCGGTATGCAAACAGTATATTCACACCTCTTATCTGCAGATGAAAAAAGTAATGCATAACAATCAACACACTTTCGAATACTTTTCGTTGTTTTAAGAACTGAAAGAAGGGAGGTCACTACACTTGCCTTTCTAGATGAAGGGTCTTCCGTTACTTTGTTAGAAGAAATTATTACTAAACAGCTAAATGTAATGGAAAACCCAAAACAACTTGGCTTAAAATTGACTGAAAAACAACAACACTAAGAAGATGCGTCAGAAAAAGTATTCTTTTCTATTGCTGGTGATTATAATGGGGCCAAAGAATTTGACCAGCGACCAACCAGAACGGTAAGAAAATTAGGCTTTGCAAAACAAAGCCCATATCGATGCAAAGGCAATTAAATAAAGCTTTCCCCATCTAAAAAACTTGCCTTGCAAATAATATAAGAACGTTGTTCCTCAGATCTTGATAGGCTTAGATAACTGGAACTTGGCATTACCACTTCGAGTGCAGGAAAGTCTAGAACTTCAACCGATAGCTGCAAAGCCCAGATAAGGTTAAAATATGTTTGCAATGTTTTTAAATAACGATGTTACATTTGTTATTGTAGTTCTAAAAACATTACTAACAAAGAACTCTTTAATACTATAAAATATTTTTTTCAGTTGAAAGCCTCGGCAGTTTAAAATATTAAACTATCTGTTTCTAAAGAATTAGATAGGGCTATTCGTATACAAGAAAGTACCCTAGTTCAAATTGGTAAAGAATATAAAATTTGATTTCTCTTAAAACACAACTTAAAACTCCCTAATAGTAAACCCATGGCTTTTCAAAGACTGGAGTATACAGAGAGGAAAGTTGAGAAAATCCAGAGCTAGGTACTAAAATTATTCCAACAAATAAATTTTTTTCTAGAATTTCTAGAAAATCAATATATTAGAAAACTGTTAGAACATTTGGCGTATAGTATCTTAGTGCTAGTAAAGTACATTGCAGAGAATCTTTATGTCGATTATCTTTTAGAATCAATAAAGACAAAGGATGGAGCCATCCAAGTAGCAAAAGAAATTGCCTTAATTTACGCCAGCAAAAATTTTGAAATAAAATACTGGAGATTCAACTCTGAAATATTAATGAACATGATAAACTCCACTCACGAAAATAACGAGAAAGTCAATTTAGGCATAGGAAACAAAAAAGCCAACAAAGCGAGAAATTTTACAAATCTTACAAATGACTGTATATGACCCTTTCAGTTTTTTCGCAAACTTATTGATTTATGTGAAGACTCTTTTACAGTAAAATGTAGAAGTAAAATTTCTTGGGATCAAACAATAACCAATAAACAGCTTCAAAACTGGCTTTTTTGGTTAAAACAGCTTCCACAAATAAAAAAGGTTTCAATTCCAAGATACTTTTCTAATATACTTGAAAACTGGATGGATACGTAAATGCACATATTTGTAGATGCAAACGAACACGTAAGTGCTTTTGTCGCGTATCCTAGAATAATGAAAAATATGTCATAGAGTGTACTTTAATTGAAGCGAAATGACATGTAACACCATTAAAATCATAAAATATTTCTTGATTGGAACTTAATGGTGCGGTGATGGGTTCACGGTTT